TCACAGCAGCATCTAGTGCTCTCACAGACTGTGGGCCACAGTGGCATTGAGCCCTCTCACAGCAGCATCTAGTGCTCTCACAGACTGTGGGCCGCAATGGCAATGAGCCCTCTCACAGCAGCATCTAGTGCTCTCACAGACTGTGGGCCACAGTGGCATTGAGCCCTCTCACAGCAGCATCTAGTGCTCTCACAGACTGTGGGCCACAGTGGCATTGAGCCCTCTCACAGCAGCATCTAGTGCTCTCACAGACTGTGGGCCACAGTGGCATTGAGCCTTCAAACAACGGCATTCGAGCCCATCGAGTGACTCGATGGACATCGATGGACTCACCACTTGATTCAAGTGGTGAGTCATCGATGTGGCGAATATATTCTTTGGGGAATTTTCCTAAACTCAACCAGAGTTTACCACCTAATCATGAGTCATGATGACTCACCATACATCCGATCATACACGATGAGTCACGTATGATATTTGTAGTTTTTTGGTATCACTTATACCGCTCACTACAAACTGAATAGAGCTCATTGATTTTCAGAAGAACCCAGATAATATATTGGAAATGTTCAGGATACATGATGTAGCGTCTTGAAGCTCAAGTATGGTTCTTCCCAGTGACAACTCAGGATCATTTGAGGGTTCGGAGTCATTCATTAGTAAATGAGGGTGATAATATCTGATACCGATATCATAAGTTAGACTGGAAAGAATAATGGGCAATTCGTGAGGCTTCCAAAGCACTACCAATGAGCAATGGAGCACGCAAACACATAGCCTGATCAATTGTATTCGGGAGACGACGAGTCGTCGTCGTCGACGACCAGGCTTTGGTCGCTTTGGTCACTAAAGCAGTCGCACGCACGCGAGAGCAGCAACAGCACAGAGGCCTCCCCAAAAGCCAGGAGCGGGACGCTGTAATCATCACTTGTCTATGATTGTGAGACTCAGAATTGGCAGAATAGCAGATCGCCACTGGCGATTCACCGGGGATCATAAATCCTCTGGAGAGAATGACAGAAAATAATATCATGGAGCGTTGAAGGACGAACGAAAGAGAATAACAAGTCTGGGACAACCAGACAGGCTTTCAAGTGTTGTAGCGGGCGTAGGCTACAAGGGAGTCTTGACGTTTGTCTGAGAACAGAGATATTTCGGATGACCAGTGAGCGCGATGCCGGGAGTTTAGACACACCGTGCCACGTATCGAGTTGAACAAGGAAACTCACCCAATATTTTAATAAACCTCGATTTTTCATATAGGGCGATTCGATCATAGTTCGCACGGAGCACCCAGATGTAGATGACATCCCAGTTCGGCTGAAGTCTACGGACCTGAAAGAGAACATATATTGAAGCCATCTTCAAAACGGAAGTCTCGATATGCATCTCTATGCGAATAGATAACCGCACTATACGAGTCGAACAGTTCGACGAAGCGTGTCGTGGCAGACTCACGTCCTTTAAGGCCTCCGAGAGAACTTTAGCCTCGACCCCTTCATTCTTCCATTTCTGAGCGACCACCAACTGAAAGTCCGAATGGCAACAACTTCAAGTCGGAGGATTCTATCAAGCTTACCTTGTAGATCCCGCCGATGGCCCCACCCGGGTTCTTGCACCCACTCGGCCTACATAAGGTAAGTTCAGCCGGACGTAAGAGCCCCGCCTCGCATGAGAAGGAACCATAATCAGTGGATAATGCTTACCGTCTCGCTTCGATCGCTCCTTTGACATCACTTGGCACATAGGGCTTAGGGATAGCCATATCCAACACGCCGACGACCATCTGAGAGAAAGACAGCTAGCTGCTGCCAGCGAGCTGCTGGAGCCACAATGCTGTCCTCGATGAATTTCTACTCCACCAGCGAACCACTCATAGAGCACGATGAGCACGCCAAGCAGGATAGCTGCGTGTACAGAGATCAACGTATGTATATCCATGTGATTACTCA